GCTCTCTTGTTTATGATGATTATCTTTTTAATGTATTATAGATTTGCTAATATTTTGTTAAGGATTTTTGAATCTATTTATGGGAGATATTGGTTTGTACTTTTCCTTTTCCTGTAATGTCTTTGTCATTTTTGGTGTCAGTGTAATGCTAACATCATGAAATTAGTTGGGAAATGTTCCCTCCTCTTATATTTTGAGTTGTATAGAGTTGATATTGTTTCTTTTTTAAATGTTTGAGAGAACTCCCCAGTGAAGGCATCTGGACATGCAGGGGGTGTGTGTGTGTGTGTGTGTGTGTGTGTGTGCGCGCGCGCGCGCACGCGGTATGTGTATAAGGTTTTTAAACTATGGATTCAAATTCAGATAATAAAGGGTCATTCATGTGATTCTTTTTTTTATCATGTGATTCTTGAATGAGCTTTGATAGTTTAGGTCTTTCAAGGAACCCATTTCTTTAAGTTATATTTATTTGCATAAAGTTAGACTACTCATGTTTAATGCTTGTAGTTCTGTAGTGATTGTTGTCAATATTGGTAGGTTATGTCTTCTCTCTCTTTTTTCTCAATTTAGGCAGATGTTGGTCAATTTTACTTATGGTTTCAAAGAACCAGATTTTTTTTGGGGGGGGGGGAGGGGAATTTAGTCTATTTTATTTACTGCTTGATTTTTTTTTTACATTTCATATCACATAATTACATTTTCTCATTTTCTAACCTGCAAACAGATACCCTAAGTGGAAATATTTTTTAAAAATAATCAAATTAGGTACATCCAAAATGCAACAATTACACATATGGCCCTAACTGGTTTTGCTCAGTGGATAGAGCACCGGCCTGCAGACTGAAAGGTCCCAGGTTCAATTCCAGTCAAGGGCATGTGCCTTGGTTGCAGGCACATCCCCAGTAGGAGGTGTGCAGGAGGCAGCTGATCGATGTTTCTCTCTCATTGATGTTTCTAACTCTCTATCCCTCTCTCTCCTCTCTGTAAAAAAATCAATAAAATACATTTTAAAAAAACAATTACACATAGGACAATTAATTCACAAAGTGTAATTTACCAGGAGGCAAGAACATACAATGGAGTCAAGACAGTCTCTTCAATAAATGGTGTTGGGGAAATTGGACAGATACATGCAAAAAAAGGAAACTAGACCACCAGCTTACACCATACACAAAAATAAACTCAAAATGGATAAAGGATTTAAACATAAGACGGGAAACGATAAATATGTTAGAGGAATCCACAGGCAGCAAAATCTCAGACATATGCCAAAGCAATATCTTCACTGATACAGCTCCTAGGGCAATGGAAACTAAAGAAAAAATAAACAAATGGGACTACATCAAAATGAAAAGCTTCTGCACAGCAAAAGAGACCATCAAACAAAACAACAAGAAAGCCCACTGCATGGGAGAACATATTTGCCAATGTTATCATTGATAAGGGTTTAAGCTCCAACATTTACAGGGCACTCATACAACTTAACAACAGGAAGATAAACAATCCAATCAAAAAATGGGCAACGGACCTAAATAGATACTTTTCGAAAGAGAACGTAAGGCCAAGAGACATATGAAAACATGCTCGAAGTCCTAATCATCTGAGAGATGCAAATTAAAATGATAATGCGGTATCATCTCACACCTGTCAGAATGGCTATCATCAACAAATGACAAGTGCTGACGAGGATGCGGAGAAAAAGGAACACTCGTGCACTGCTGGTGGGAATGCAGACTGGTGCAGCCACTATGGAGAACAGTATGGAGTTTCCTCAAAAAACTAAAAATGGGCCCTAACCGGTTTGGCTTAGTGGATAGAGCATCAGCCTGTGGACTGAAAGGTTCCAGGTTCGATTCTGGTCAAGGGCATGTACCTTGGTTGCGGGCACATCCCCAGTGGGGAGTGTGCAGGAGGCAGCTGGTCAATGTTTCTCTCTCATCGATGTTCCTACCTCTCTATCCCTCTCCCTTCCTCTCTGTAAAACACCAATAAAATATATTTAAAAAAACAACAACTAAAAATGGAACTCCCATTTGACCCAGTGATTCCTCTTCTAGGAATATATCCCAAGAAACTATAAACACCAGTTAGAAAGGATATATGCACCCCTATGTTCACAGCAGCACATTTTACCATAGCTAAATTTTGGAAACAGCCTAAGTGCCCATCAGCAGATGAGTGGATTAAAAAACTGTGGTACATCTACACAATGGAATACTATGCTGCTGTAAAAAAGAAGGAATTCTTACCATTTGCAACAGCATGGATGGAACTGGAGAGCACTGTGCTAAGTGAAATAAGACGGAGAAGGATAAATATCACATGATCTCACTCATTTGTGGAATATAATGAACAACATAAACTGATGAACAAAAACAGATCCAGAGACAGAGAAGCATCGATCAGACCGTCACACCTCAGGGGGAAGGTAGGGGAGGGTGGGGTAAGGGGGAGAGATCAACAAAAGGACATGTATGCATGCATATAAGCCTAGCCAATGGACATAGACAACAGGGGGATGAGGACATGAGTGGGGGGTGTTAGGGGTCAGTGGGGGGGTTAAGGACACATATGTAATACCTTAATAAAGAAAACAAAATTTAAAAAATGAAGAAAAAGTTAGCTAGAAACTACCCTCTTAAGTACTGCTATAGCCATACCTTACAAATGTTGATGTTATTTTAAAATTTTTATTCATTTTAAAATATTTTCTAATTCACTTTGTAATTTCTTCTTTCTTATTTAGAAGAATGTTGATTAATTTCTAAATATTTGGAGATTTTCCAGCTATCTTTCTGTATTGATACCTAATTTAATTCTGGTGTGGTCAGAGAACATACTCTGTATGATTTCAAAACATTTAAATTTATGTTTTATCACCCAGTATATACTACTGTTACTGTGTGAAATGTTTTATAAATGTCAATTGGGTCAAATTTAAGAATTGTGTTTTTCAGTATTTTTCTATTTGTACTGACTTTCTGCTTATATGTTCTCTTAGTGACAGAGAAGTACGGAAATCCCCAACTATAATTGTAGAATTCACTTTTTCTCCTGTTCTATCAGTTTTTGCTTTATTATTTCAGAGCTCTATTTGTTAGGTTCATTTAAGATTATGTTTCTTCATGAACTTTCAATTCTTTATTATAAGATACAGAATTTTAAGCTAATTTATTTCCATCTCTCAACATTTTAAAAATGTCTTGCTGTTGTCTTCTGGCTTGCATCGTTTCAGAAACAAAGTTTGCAATTATTCATATCTTTGTCTCTCTATACATCATTTGCCCCCTTTTTGATTTCTTTTTAAGATTTTTCCTTTATCGCCTTTTGCATAATTTGATTATGATATTATATACTAGCTTGTCTTCTCAAAAATCAGTTATTTCTCTTGCTAGACATATAAGGTACAGATAGTCAAAGGGTTTGAATATTTTCAGTTTCCTGCAAAGTTCCTACACATTAATATCTACTGCCAAGGAGCCACTCTGATTTATGAGAACTTGAGTGCTTGACTGCAGGCTCACAAAGGCTTTGGACAGTAGCATTCACTGATTTTACCAACATAAAAAGAACAGCAAAGTTTTGTTGCTTAGTATAGCCAGGGCAATTCCCCAGATTCCCTGTCAAGTTGAGTCCTGTTAGATATAGCACAGGTTTTCTTTTTGATGTGACTTGAAGTTAATACAAAGAATTTTGGCATTTTTCTCATGAACTAATAGGTTTTTAAAATCCTGAAACCTATAACCTTTGCAATTAAATGATGATAATGAAAAAATTGCTATAATATTTTATGTAATTTACAGCTTATGAATAATTTCACATATTTTCTCATTTAGCTTCATGATGATTTGCACTGAGAAGTTTTTGTGGACTCACTCAACTTCATAAACATTGGCTGAATAAAAAAAGATTTTACTGCCAACCATTTTTTAAAGATTTAAAAAATAATAACCTGCTTAAGAGCCCTAGCATTTATTGTCATTTACACAGAAGTTGTTAGTTTTAAATGAAATAAGCCATATTTAAAAGATGATAAAATAAAACTAGATCAGAATGCTTCCCCATTTTTTTGTGTTCTTGTCTCTCTAAGATTAGAAGTGGATTTTCTTTTATTTAAAATGATAAAAAAAATATGTTTATATTTTACCACAATATTTTATAGTAAATATTAGTTGTGAAGGGACTCAACAGCAGGATTAATACTGATCATTGCTTACTTCAGTAGAAGAGAATAATCTCTAAATATCAAACTATACAGGCAATCCTCGAGTTACATCGGACTCGACGTACGTCGTTTCGTGGTTATGTCGCCATCTCCCATTTATTTATAAAAAAAAAAGTTCCGTCATTTTGATGTATGTACATATGTGCTTTATGTTTTTTATTATTTATTGACCACAAGCAAAGGTCAGGAATTGTTATCTTTCTTTTAACTTTTTTTTACTGTTTCACTTCATTACTGCTGTGCATGTGCTCTATGTGAGTGACATAGGTGCTTATGTAGGTGGGTTCCAACTTACAGCGAAAATTGCATTACATTGCGATCGAGGACCTACTGAATATATAAAAGTCTAATATGCAAATTGTCCCCTCGGGAGTGTAACTGGGGGACCTGGAGTTCGATCTCTCGCTATGATGTATGCTGACCACCAGGGAGCGGCGCAGAATGAAGGAAGGCCCCGGCCAGCAGCCAGGGAAAGGAGGTCTACCTCAATATTCTCATGCTTATCCACTTGGTTTAAGCAGTGCCTACATGGAGTATGAATTAGTTAATATGTGCTGAAATGGTAAGGATAAGCTAGATAGGGGGTAGGTATTAGTTAAAATGAAGATTTAACTGCAGAGCCATAATAGTCTTGGCTCCCCAAATTTCACATTTCTAGCACTTATGCAAGAAACAATTACTGTTTTATTTTCTTTATCAAAAACTTACCTCTGTTTTTGTTATTCTACTTTTTATTTTTAAAAGATTTACTTGACTTTACACTTCTTTGTGACAGGTATCTTCACTCGAGGACAGCTGGGCCTGGTAGACGTCATCTCCCAGTACATTCACTATGACGAGGTCTGTGAGGCGATAAGCATGCTGAGCAGCATGGACTGGGACACGCTGGGCCACCAGTGCTTCGTCAGCATGAGTGCCATTGTGAACCACCTTCTCAGACAAAAACTGACTCCAGAGAGAGAAGGTCAGACTCGAAATACATTCCATCAGTGGGTTTTGCATGTACATGAAGTACCTTTTATTAAGTCAGTTATTTTTGAGATGATTTTGAGTTATATTATTGGAAACTAAGACACAAATGTTAATGCCTTATTAAAACTGATCAGGTCAGATATCAAATAGTTACTCCTATATGGTATTGACTGTGTAGTATTTATCAACATAAAGAGCTTTTGTGTGTATACCTATGTTGGAGCTCACAGTGCAGTTATTGTATATTCCAGTGTAAGTTCATGTGTGGAATAAGAAGTTCATGTACCGTCTAGGGTCTGGTAGACAAAGGGCCCCAAACAAACACCCTTACTGCTCCTTTACTTTAGACATCAATATTTTTCTCTCACACCCCAAGTCTTTTGTCCAGAAAATAATCCTTTCCCCTTACTGTGTGTGTGTGTGTGTGTGTGTGTATGTATTTGTATTTTTGTCAGACTTGCAGCCCAGGCTGCTGCTGCTTATTTTCATTCTAACTTGTAGTTCTAATACCCCTTTCCCTTCTGTCTGCTTTCATTTCCCCACCCTCCTCCAGTAAATAATTTTTCCCATAGGATCTCAGATGTTTATTGTCAAAGAGAAATAAAACACTGTAAAAAATAAAGGGGGGGAGGGGATATGTGCCACAATGAAATTAACTTTTATATCTGTCATTTATCAGTATGTTATTTTTATTGATTTACTTATTTACTTAATGTAAAATGCACCTAACCATTTTTGCACTTGCTTCTTTATTTCAAATCTTTGCAAAAAACATTGACATTAATGATGGGAAATCATGACCAATGAGAAAGTGTCTCTAGGTAGTTTGCAAGAGAATATATCAAACAAGAAATATATCAAACATCTTTATTGGAAAGCTCGTTTTCCCCTACTATTTTCTTGGCATATTTATTGATGTTCTTATTCTGTTTTATTTTGTTTATAAAGTAAACAAGTTGTTTAGATAGAATTCTGTATATAACTTTCATTTTAGTAATTTTAGAGAATAATAATCAATAAGAACATGTTTCTTCAGGAAGTTTGCATCATGGGACTTGGCCCAACTCGCAGGAAGCTCGCAATAAGTATTTATTTAATGTTACTTGAATGTGCTTTTTTGAGGTAGCCCAACCCATCTATGGGGATTCCAGTATTTCTACAATGAGAAAATGCCTAGCACGGTGCTTGGCCCACAGTAGGTATTAAAATACTAGTTAGAGCCCTGACCGGTTTGGCTCAGTGGATAGAGCGTCGGCCTGTGGACTGAAGGGTCCTGGGTTCAATTCTGGTCAAGGGCATGTACCTTGGTTGTAGGGTAGGCACATCTCCGGTAGAGGGTGTGCAGGAGGCAGCTGATTGATGTTTCTCTCTCATCGATGTTTCTAACTCTCTGTCCCTCTCCCTTCCTCTCTGTAAAAAAAATCAATAAAATATATTTAAAAAAATACTAGTTAGAAATAAAAAGAGTATGACTTCAAAATTTTAGGTACTAGATATTACTTTTACATTTCTGCCTGTGGAGTTATTTCAGTCATTTCTTAGCATTGGTACACTCTCAAGATTGGGTACATAATATTAAAAAAGAAAAAGAAGCAGAGTCCCTAAGAAAACCTGTTAGGGTGCACAAAACTATACAAGAAATCCTAAATTTACAGATGAAGAAACATGGAGAAGATAAAATATTTACTGTCACTCAGGACACTGAGAAATTACTAACACCTTAGTGAATTTGTATTTTAAGATTTCTGTATTCTAAGAAAGATTATTAGGTAATTCACAAGTGGACATTATCAGATTTTTGCATTAATAAAGTATATTTTCAGGAACCATATTGGGGAGATATGGAAATAAAAAGCTTGTATGATTATAGGCTATTTAAAAACTGCTTGCATGATGCTAGGTTATCAGAATATGTACATTTAGATAGGTATATACATTTTCCCCTAAGTAACTGCAAAACACATTTCTAAAACATTCAGAATTCTTTTCTATTGAGATTTATTCTATCTGAATCTAACAAATTTGACATGGTAATTTGTTTTCCTTTTATTAGTGGAACCCAGTGGGCTCTTTTATTTGTAGCCACATTGTGGTTATCTTCGAGGCCGTCATTTCTGTCTTAAACATCAAGCTGGGCTATCTAATGAATCTATAACTGTGCTGGGAGTTACGAGTATTTCATGTAGGCTTGAACGTTTCAGATGTACAAAACATGCTGTCAAGAAAACAAGCAATGGCAAGAGAATCTGGCTTGTTTTCACAATAGCATTGCTGTATTCAATTTTAATCTAAATTGACTGCTGCTTTGAAAGAAAATACCTCTAAAGTTCATCTTACTTCACTGTCTAGATTTGAGATTAAAAAAGAAATTACTTATAGCTTAGCCAAGCCTATAGCAATTACTCTGATGAGCTATTTAATACTTTCAAAACCAAAGATGCCTAAAACTAAAGAATTTTGCTAAATAAAAAACTGTTTATTCAACCAAGTGCTAGTAAGTAGCATAAGAATCAGTGGAGTCTTACTGTGAACTATAGTGCTCTATCTACTCATACTCTCACCATTATGGTAACTAGATAACTTCCAGGTATTTCTGGGAGGAAATACAACCCTATAGGCATGTCTTGGTAAAGTTGTGAAGTTGGCAGACTGTGCCCCTTTCTTCTAGTTCTAAGCACTCTGGTTTATCAAAACCTGCCCTTTCCTAGGAAGGTGTCAGGTGACCCAGAGCAGATTAGCATGTCGTCCCTCCCAGGAGTGTTAGCTTTCACACCTGGACAAAACCAACAATCTTATTGTTGAGGACAGGATTTAGGGAAGATAAAGGGACTTTCACTGTTTCTTTAAAGTTTTAGTAGGTAGTAAAATCTCTATTACAATAAGGCTATTTTTATTTGTATTATTTTTTAAAAGATTTCTAATATTTCAGTGCTCAATGTGGACAAGTTAGTTTTTGCCCTTCAACTAAGGAGAGTAAATGTTGAGCACAAAGTAAGTTGATTTTACTGGAAATACTAGTTCAAACTGTGTTACTTTGATGAGTCACTGTTTTAATTACCCATTTGTGGTGAGAGGTTGATTCATTATGGATTTCTTCAGTTTTGACAGCTTTTCGTTGTTCAAAGTCATTGTCAGCTTTGCTTCAAGTGAAAGTTTATACACAGGTTTGTTTTTGTACCAGCTGTCATATTCTAATTTCATCTTTCCTGCAACAAGCTCACATTTCATCCAAGTTTGCAAAACCTGACTGACTGCAAACATGAGTATTCTGTTGTAATTGAAGGAGTTTCACTTGTTTTAGTGCTGCTATGTTTGAATTCCACAGCACAGCTTGAGGCAAGCCTTGGAACCTTCTATGCTCCAACAAGACCACTCCTGGACACAACTGTATTGGAATATAGAGACCAAGTCATCAAATATGCAAGGAGATTCTTCCACCACTTGCTCAGGTGAATGATATCTTTGGATTGATTAGTATTAAACTAATACCTACATAAGGAGCCATGTTCTTTAATGGGAACATCCCATATTATGTGTACTGATTTTATAACACCCTAAGGCAGCAATTTTCAACCTTTTTCTTCTCATGGCACACATAAACTACTAAAAGTCTGCGGCACACCAAAAAAAAAAAAAAAAGTTTTTGCCGGTCTGACAAAAAATAAGGTATAATTTTGATTGATTCACATCAGATGTCTATGTTGTGTTGGTTGTAGTCATTTTTTAATTTGACAGTCTAAGGGAAAAGAAGTCAGTGTCCTTGACTACATCGTCAGGTATTGCATGTTTTAAAACTTCCTGCGACACACTAGTTGAAAACTGCTGCCCTAAGAGAAAAACAAATCTTCTCTTGATATCCTTTATTTAATTCATTCTTGTTTGCCTTTTAACTAATATATTTCAATATCGTTTAGGGCTTTTACATCAATAGCACACTTTAATAGAACTCCCCCTTTAGTGTGAAAGCAAAAAATAACTGCCAGGTAAAGTCAATTTAAAAATATTAACATAAAAAAAAAACTAACTTAATTGTGCTTCGGGCACTAGAGAAATACTTTATTTTCATTGAAGCTAAAAATACAAATGTGCTATAAAAAGCTCTGAGACAGTCGTTGCTTTGCTTTACTTTCAAAATTACTGTGGAAAGATTTGTCCATTGTCCTCTCGTGTTGTGGCAAGTTGCTAGCTATACTGTGCCTCTTTTTCTCTGCTTTAAATTGATATAATAAACATTTTTAACCTTAGGTGTTATATGAAAAATTAGATAATGTCAGTAAGTTACTCTGAGAAAAGTAATGTAAAAGTATGGGATACTTTATATATATATCCCATATATATAAAGTTCAAAAAATGGATGGAAGATGAATGGGTTGACAGAGATAGGTGATAGATCGGTAGATATAGTTAGTTTAGAAATACATATAAATATTTAGAAATACATATAAACTATACTGCATGTATAGGTACATATAATATAGTTTAGAAATACTATAAATGAAAACAAAGAAGTGATTAGCACAAAATCTAGGATAGTGCAGGGTGGGTTGAGAGAAATCTAGGAATAGTCATATGAGCCTCCAAGGTCTTAGTAACATTCCATTTTTTAAGGTCAATGGGGTATATATCAGAGCCAATTAAAAATGGCTATTCTTTTAGCTGAATGTGTACATTTTGTATACTTTTTGTATATGATATGTTTTATAACAGAAAGTAATAAAATTTTCCACTCCATGCACCAAAAAGAAGTAATTGAGTTTAGAATTTTAATTTTACTTAAAATATAAATTTGCTATAACTCTATTGAACTCTTTCAACAATTATACACACACACACACACACACACACACACACACACATATATATTCTTCTTTTTTTCTTAGAACAACCCTTTTAAGGGGATAGTATCAGTTGGCAATTGAGTGAACTATATATAAAGTGGTACTTTTATCTCTATCCAATAGGGAGGCCTTTGGAAAACAGTCATTTTAGAAGCTGAGGAATGTTAATATATTGTATGGGTTGTGATCTGTAATTGAATTTTGCCTTTTAATCTGAATTATATTAGCATATTTCAAGAGACTTTTCACCCTGAACGAGGCAGTCTTCTACATATGAACCTATGCCAAAAACACTGTGGCTGTCGTTGGACCGAGGGCTTTGTTCTTTGCTCTCACTATTATTTTGTTTTCCCTGTTCCTAGGAAAAATTAATGAGTTCCCTTCTTGCCTGAAGAACACAACAGATTAACATGAATGAAACGGGCGTTCTGGAGGCATACTCTCGGTGGCCTCACTGTGTCTCTGGCCTCTGTGATTTTGTGCAGGGATTAGTTTGTGCATTAGCATTATGTTTCATAATGTGATAGTCATTATTCTGTGCTCCTGGCCCTAGAATGCTCATAGCCTGCTAATACTCACATATGCTACAGGTGTGCACTTTTTTCATTTATTTTCCTCAAATGCAATAATCTATTTTTTTTATGTGCTTTGATGAGGTGTCTATTATTGTTGTTATTATTAGATTCTAGCTTTTCTGTGTGGTTACATCAGGAATTGAACTTTTTTCCCTTGGGATATACTAGGTTTTTCATGTTTACTTCTATGCATGCTTTGCTACTATTTCTGTTATAATGACTGTTTATTAGTTCTTTTGACAGTAGGCTATACGTGGCATTATGAAAAAACAAAAGTAAGTTTAGAGGAAATTAAATGAGATAGCTTAAAGTTGGAGCCCTTCTTTTGTTTAATCTGCTGCCAAGAAGTTCTGCTTAAGGGAAGAGAAACAGGCCAAAGACTTTTTTGTATTTATGAAGTTCTAGAATCGCATTACTCCCTGTACTTTGGCTAGGCGGTATTTTAATACTCTAAAAAAAGTTATTACATAATGGACTAAGTCCTAAACAGTAAACATCATTATACAGAATTTTAAGTTAAAGATGAGAAAAAAGGATTGCTGTGCAGAGTAGGGTTGTGCTTACGATCACTCATTGGCAAAGCCGTTGACTCAGATTGCCTGAGTCCAGATTGAACTGTTGATTAAGAAGAATAAAATATTAGATTGATTTTAATTTCATGCAACCATAGGAAGAGTGAGTATTATAGTGTGAATTTGTGATAATAGACAATTATACTGTGTGAGTTACTAACGTAAACTGTTTTTGATACAATTTTGTTTTTATGTTGATAGTTAGAGGGAATCCATGGGCATCCCTATCCTGAAGGTCTGGGGCAGGATACCCTCTAATCATGGCTGGTTCTTCTGATAACCAGCTCCATCTATAGGGGCTTTTGAAAATCACCTCATTAATATAAACTCAGGTGTGGTTGAAAGGAGATTGTTATGAATAACAAAAGACTTTACTTTCACCTTTTTTGGCGTGAGTGTGTGTGTGTGTGTGTGTGTGTGTGTGTGATGTGTTTTTGAGACAGCTCCGACTCCTGGCAACCCTATGAATGAGTGATGCCCACAATGTTCTGTCCTTAACAGCCCTGCTCAGCTCCTGTAAACTCATGCCTATGGCTTCTTTTATGGAGTCAATCCATCTAATATTTGATCTTCCTCTTCTCCTTCTGCCTTCTGTTTTTCCCAGCATTATTGTCTTTTCCAAAGAACCTTGTCTTCTCATGATGTGTCTAAAGAAAGACAACTTCAGCCCTAACTGGTTTGGCTCAGTGGATAGAGTGTCGGCCTGCAGACTGAAGGGTCCCAGGTTCGATTCCGGTCAAGGGCATGTGCCTTGGTTGCAGGCACATCACCAGCAGAGGATGTGCAGGAGGCAGCTGATCCATGTTTCTCTCTCACTGATGTTTCTAACTCTCTATTCCTTTCCCTTCCTCTCTGTAAAAAAAATCAATAAAAAAATATTTTTTTAAAAAAAAAAGACAACTTCAGTTTTGTCTCCACCAATGTGTCAGGCTTAATTTGCTCTATGATCTACTTATTCCTCTTTCTGGCAGTCCAGGGAATCCATAGAGTTCTCCTCCAACCCCATATTTCAAATGAATCTTTTTTTTCCCTGTCAACTTCCATCACTGTCCAACTTTTGTATCTGTACACAGCATTTAGGAAGGGGAGGGTGTGGATGATCCTAGCCTTGCCTCTACTGGCACAGCTCTGCTCTTAGTAATCTTTCCCAATTCTTCCATTGCTGCCCTTCTGAGTCTCCCCTCCTCTTGATTTTTTTGGCTGCAGTCTCCATTTAAATTGCTGATGTACCAAGGTAAGCAATTTCAGTGCCTTCATTGTCTGTTAGAAGTTGGGCATCTCTTCAGTAGTCATGATTTTTGTTGTCTTCATCTTCAAATGCAGTCCTGCTTTGGTACTTTCTTCTTTCAGTTTCACCAGAAGTCATTTCAAGTCATTGCTACATTCTGCCAGTAAGATGATATCATCTGCATATATTTCTTTCACCAATTTTAACTGCTCCTTCCTCTGAGTCTAGTCCAGTTTTGTTTTTTTTAACATGTTCAGTGTACACATTAAACAAACAAGGAAATAAAAGGTGTGATACCTTCCCCTATAGGAAACCAGTTTCTCCATATTCTGTCCTGGCAGTGGCTTCCTGTCCACAATACAGGTTACACATCAGGGCAATCAAGTGCTGAGGCACACCCATTCCTTTCAGAGCGACTGCCAGCTTCGCATGATCTACACAGTCAAAAGTTAGTCTAACCTTCTGATATTCTTCGGAGCAGTGCAGTATCCAGCAAGTGCTCCCAATCAGGTCTCAAGTGCCTCTTCCTTTTTGAACCCAGCTGAAAATCCTACATTTCCTACTTCATATAAGGTGGAAGCCTTTATTGCTTCACCTTGAACATCACCGTACCTGCATGGGGAATTAGAGCAACGGTCCTGTAGATACTGTACTCTTTGGCATCTCCTTCCTGAAAACTGGGAAGTACATTGAACCTTTCCAATCAGTAAGCCGTTGTTTTGTTTTCCATATTTGTTGACATATTTTTGTGAGGATTTTGACAGATTCACTGCTGGTGGCTTGAAATAATTCTCTTTGTATCTCATTTACCCCTGGTGATTTATTTCTTCCCAATTCATTCAGGGCAGCTTTTACTTCACTGTTTAGATTGCAGGTTCATTCTTATAGGAATATTCTGCTAAAGTATCTGTCATCCTTTATCTGTAGAGAATTTCGGTAAATAGAGGGAATCCATGAACATCTTTTCCCTTTATTTTTTCCTGGTCAGATAATGTGCTTCCTTATTAGTATTCAGCATTCTTCATCTAGGTTTGAATTTCCCTGTTATCTCTTGCATTTTCTGGTAGAGATCTCTGATTTTTTCTTTTTTGTTCTCTTCTATCTCCTTACATTGACTATTGTAAAAGTTCTCTTTAGTTCTAAATGATAGTTGTTGAAAAACTGCATTCAGGTTTCTAACCCTACTTTGGTCACCTTTTGCTTTAGCCTCTCACCTGTCTCTGACAGTTTTTAGTT